TGAAGTGATGAATTTGTGCCTTTTAGCTAAAAGTCAGTATTGATTGTATTTTCATGTGTTGCTAGAGGGGATGACCAGTCTTGTGAACTTGTTCATCACAGTAGGTGTTTCAAGATATTATGCTGAGCAGTTCTGTGTCTGTGATAAATCAATACCACAAATGATGCCTGCTGTGTGCTATTTAGAAGGGTTTGGGGGAAAAAAAAAAAAAAGAAAAAAAAAAATCTTACTGCTTTTAGTGCTAATGGTACATTTGTTATGTTGAACCATAAATCTGTTTGCCTGACATTGTTCTTAGGCATCAATAACTCATGGCTTGGAGTTCAAGATACTACTACTTCTACAATTTCTAAAAATGTTTTAATGGATGACTTAGAACTTAAACAACTTAGTCTCCAAAACTAAGTGTGCATTGTTTCCTGCTCTTCAGCTCATAAAAACTAGTTTAGGGAGATACTAAAAAAATTTAAAATCTAAATTTAACATGCTGGAATAACTGACAGAAGAAAAATTCAACAAAAAAGTCTGCCAGTACTGGTTATTTTCAGTTGATAAAGATCATTCATTTACTCAAAATAAATAGGCATATTTATCAAATGCTTAATTAACTGCTTTTTAATTTTAACTTCTTTCTTTCCTATTTTTGCCATTTTCTTTTAGCATTAGTATGTAAAACAGCAGATGGGGTTTTTTGTAAGATAAGTACAAAAATAGTGGCTTGGGAAATCAGTTTATAGACACACTCAGAGGTATAATAAGCAGCCCTATAAATCTTACCAAAATATCTGGGAAAAGAATTAAAAAGGCTATTGTAGTTAGTTTTATTGAAGAGGAAAAGATGTCAAAAAAGTCAAAGAACAGTTCATGAATATTAAGATTACTGTGAACTTGACCTACTCAATGTTCATAGTTTTATTGTAGAAAGTTTTTGACTTACTTGGGATATAATTTTTCAGTTATTTCCTAGGATAATATATTGGATGTCAGAAACTTCATGTGTGTCGAAAATTACAAAATTAGTGATACCTATCAGAGGAGTTTGCACAGAATTTGAAAATTCAGTGTTCATCCATCATTGCTGGAATACATTGGAGGAAAATCGGGAACTTCTTGTATATATGTAGAATACTAAATATTGTAGAATACTAAGGAAAGGAGACTTGAAAACTTTGATACATCTTACAGATAAATCATACAATTTGGAAACATTACTAGTTTTTAAAATGCTCTTTAACGCAGTTGCGAGATTGGTAAGGTATCATCTAACAATAAAATAATATTTAGAGTTGTTCTTCTGCCTATTTGAATATTAGCATCCAGCAGACACTCCAGAAAGTCTAGTCAACTAAAGAAAAAGTCTTCCTCTTTCACTGCCCTCCAGTGATCTTCATTGTGATATGACTGGGTCAAATAATAAAACATACATGTAGAGTAAATTTAGGTCTTGAGCTGTTAAATAATACTCAAAGAAACAAACCAAAAGCTTTTGCTACCTGTTTCAAAAAGGAGATATGAGGTATACTGTTATTGGGTTTGCTAACAGAAGTAACACTTACACAAAAATGGCCAAAGTCTTCTAAGATACTTGGGTAAAGGACTCTTGTAGAACATCCCACCCCACCACCCTGCATTTATAAGAGTACATGATATCAAATCTAAATACAGGGTTTCATTTGGTATAGGGTTTTATTTTCTAAGGACTTTGAGCCACTGTTGGCACATTTTAGCATGAATCACTTAAGAAAGTTGTTCAGGAACACAAGGGAGAAATTATTTTAAGAAAAGAAAGCAAGGTCAGAGAAAGACAGAAAAAAACCAAAACCCTGCACCTCAAGATATTGTAGATGCTTCTCCAGTCAGTGATACTGGAGCATTTTAATGTTTCATCAGATCCCAAATGGAATCTATCTTAGTATGAGCAAACCTCAAGTAATGATTTATTTATATGCAAGGCATCTTAAGAGCAAGGTGCCTAAAAAAATTCTCCTGTTTACTCAAGGTTGTTGGCAGGAGTAATGTCTATAAGATACTGCTTCTTTCCTTTCAGCACGGAATGGAAAGAACCTTGTGGATATAAACTCAGCCAGTAAGGATAATTTAGTGATAAGCATTGTTAACTTCTACTTCCAAATTTTCCATAAAAGAAAAATTCCAGAACTTGTTTCATAGACTTACAGTCTTATATAAAATATCATTAGCATTATCTTCATAAAACAGGTATAGCAAAAGACTCTAGACTTTTGTACTCACATTAAACTCATTCATTTTTTCATCTCTGTCCTTTTGTGAGGGGTGGTCTATCCCATTCTTCTTTCCCAATCAGGAGCTTTGTTCTACAGTCATTTGCAAAGAATACAATATTTAAAAGAATTTTTTTAAAACTACATTTATTTTATTTGCTTTGACAGAAACCTTTTGAATTGCTGGGGCATCAGAATAATTGATTTGGTAGTTGAGAGTGGTGTAAACTTGACTTATTTTCTTACCACTGTCAAGTGTTAGACTCTGCTACTCACATTATCAGTGCAGATGTCTCAGAAACACTTTCACTAAGAGTCCTACATGTCAGCAGTTTCTGCATCAATTTGTGTTAAGATAGCCTTGACTTGCCAGCAGATCATACCAAGTTCATCTAGAGCAAAAATGCTTATAAGAACTACTGTAAAACGAAAAGTTTTGTGGCTCAATGGAAGAACAAGTTGGCTAATTCTTGAGAAAAGTAGAGTTTCTACGCCCCAGACAAAAACTATGGCTTGTAAGCATATTCTGAATGACAATAACTTAATGTTTACAAATTATTACTTTGTGTTTATCCTCATGAAAAGAGTATGAGACAGTCATGTTCTGCAATTGGACATACAGTTTATAGGCAATATCATAGAAAAGAAGGCTGAAAAATTTTTGAAGGAATATCTAGTTCATCATTTTGCCCAAAGATGGAATCAACTGTATCAGACAAGTTTGCCTGAACTGTAACATCAAGCAAACTAGGTATTGCGTTTGCAGTACTGACAGTTAAGTTTGCTATTCTGTTCATTTAGGTAGCATTTTCTCCTCAATTTCTCTGTATTGATTTGGTTTACCTATAATATACCTATAAACTTTATTTTGTTTTCTACCTGATGTTGTCAAGTTTTGGTTATCTATAGGCGCATTATCCTGGTGATGTATTAACTGTGCAATGGCTGTGTAGGCACCTAACCTGGCTTTAGACGAGTAGTTTGGCTGCTTTATGTTTTGAGTGCCGTGATCGACAGAATTGCCAACTTTTGCACCTTAATTAAACTATCATTGTATGCTCTCATAATCTAATACAGGTCACGATATTTTCAACTCTTGATTAACCAGGGTCCAGCATGCAAATAGTTTTCTTGTAAGCCAGTACTCTTTATTTAACGCTTGAAACACCAAAAGTAGAGGTTGGTCCATATCAATTATATAAAGTTTTAACAGGGACTCCTCATTAACAGTCGACAAAAACTGTGAAAGCATAAATGCACCAATATATTTTGAATATTATTTGCTGATGTGGTATAAATAAATTGCACTGATTGGATAAAAAGTTACTGATTTAAAATACAGCAATGTGTTTTTTTAAAAAAATCATTCTCAAATGATAGATCCTTTGTATTTGTTCTGGCTTCTGCATTATACTTTAGACATACAGCTAGTATATCATCAGTTATTAGTGACTGACCTTTTCTACCAAATGCTTCTGATTTTTTTTTTTTCTTCATTCTGAAGAAAGCAAAAAGAAAATCTTTCAACTAGAGACTAGGAAAACATTTCAAAAACTAGTGATACTCAAGCATATTTTTTTAACCTGATCAAATTTGTTAGAAAAGTCATTATTTATAACAGAGATAGATATTGTAAAGAAAAAATGTGTTGTTTTTATCCCTTTCACCTTCACCTTGATTTTCCCATTTGAGATCAGAGCTCAAATCATGTTCACTCTGCTAGGGGCATAACTAAATATAATAGTACCTGTATGTCTGCTGATTTCTGTAAAAGCCAGCCCGTGTTCCACATTCATATTAAAACTTTCAATGAGTTTAGTGACCTGTCTTTTCCTATTGCTGCAATGTTGTTTCTGAGTTTCTCTTTCCTCTTGTATTTAATGCAGTCCTGGATTTTAACTTGGCAGGTTTCACAGCTGTATTGAAAATTATGTGCATTATTTCACTCATTCACCCAAACCCATTTAATTTAAAAAAGAACCATCAGACATGACAGTACTTGCATAAGATGGAGCATAAATATTATTAAATTATACTTTTTTTATTTCTGTTACTATATTCGTTATCAAGTGACATCGATTGGTGACATTAGGAATTTGTGTCCAGTGGCAATTACTCTTGATCATGCTTAATCAAGCTGTCTCAAATATAACTAGAAAACTTAGAAAACTGTGTCCCATCTTAGTGAAACCTTTGCCTTCTTTTTTAAGGAGAAACTGTATCACTCAAAATGATCATTCAAGAATAATTTATATAAGTTTTATGAGTATTTAAGGCTCTTTACTTACTATTCAAATATTCAAATGAAATAAAATATGGGATACCGATTATATGCAGTGATTTTAATTAATATAAAGCTGCTTTCTGTAAACAACAAGGTTGTGTAAGTTTCTAATGGCTAAGCCTGGATACTTGTTTCTCCTCTTATGCCCTCCACAGAGGAGGTGCTGATATGACCCAAACAATAATAAACTAAAAAATATCCCAAAGCTTCTCTCCAAAACCAGCAAAGAAATACAAGAAATAACTGTAAACATCTTCACAACCAGGAATGTCTCTTTCCCATTATTTTCTTGAAAATACCAGAATCTCTGTAATACAAGAACTTTAACCTCTGTAACACCAGGTAAAACAGGTAACAAATGATTATTTTTCCAGAAAATAACTTGTATGCAGTAAGACTTATTTACAGGAATAGCCCTTCCCCTTGGAAATTAATCCTACTATTTTATCTTATACCATTGCTTTTCTCCTACTCACCACAATGAGTAATATATAGACAAATGTGTGCAGCGGCAGTCTGTGTCTCTTCTCCCCTTACTGTGCCTTGCTGTTTCTCTCCTATTAGCTGTAGCTGTGCAGTCGTCTAGACACAGTGTGACAGGAACTCAGTTACCTTGATGGCAGGTACAGATGCAGCTTTAGCACTTGCTGTCTGCTTCACGTTTGTAACACCCTCGCTCCTTCCGGTCACTTGTTCAAGGGGAGAATGACAGCAGCATTTCTGAGCTGTTCTTGTGTTTTCTCCCAGAACGCTCAGGGAAAGCAGACTTCGTGATCTCCATGCTAACTACCAGCCTGCCCGCTGCCAGTTCTCCCTACTTCTGCCAGTGATGACATTCAGCTCGCTCCTCCACGCAGGATACAGCACTGATTCCTCATTATGTAAGGCAGTCTAGGTCAAGTGTAGGAGAGGCACTGCTGGCCTGAGCAAGCTAGTGGATTGCTCCCTCAGCTTCATGCTTCATGGGGTCTGGAAGCTGGGTCCTGATCTTTGCTACATCTTCTCGGGTAAATGTTTTTGCATGATTTAAATGGTTACTGTGCTGTTTTTCTATGCAGATAGCTGTCAGCCATGCTGTGAATTGCAGAGAATTTGCTGGGTGAAACCAGCTCTGTCAGCATGATTGGATTAACAGAGTAGTTCTTTTAGGCATCTTCAGCTTTAAGACACTTTACAAATATAAAATCATAAATTGAGTTTGTTTAACAAACATCTTTTCTAACCTTATGGGGATTATTGTTAATTTGACTGATGAAGCAGTGAATGAAATCCATTTGCTAGAAGGTGGTGTGGGAAAGCATTATTGGATATAGCTATTAGCTCTGAGAGGTTTACTGCAGTTTCTGGCTGTTGCATTGTTTTAGCCTTGCAAATTACAAACATACTTCTTTTACTAAACAAAACAAAATGAAAAAAAAATGTATTTGATTTTCTGGCAGCCTTTGGTTATTTTTTTTTGAAGTAGCAATTAAATCCAGGATGCTATTTTCTATTTACTGCATGAATGCATGAATCTATATGCTTCTGAAATATGTAAGGTGAATACTGCAGATAAAAGTACATCTAGTGACTGCTCTGCAGAATGCCAGAACAGTACATGTTAGCTAGATTTATATTAGAAGGTAGCTTTTTTTTTTCAAGCACCATGTAGAATTCAAAGACTTTTTTTTTTTGTATTTACACCCTGCTGAAAATCAGTCCATAAAAAAAGACATAGTACAGTTTTGTCCTTAAACTAATTATACATACTGAGTATTGTCAGGTGCTGGAACGTCTGATTATACTGGAATGCAGCAGAAGAGGCCCTGGAAAGTAACAGCATAACACTGGTACTGCAGTATCGTGTAGGGAATTTCAACAAGGCTAGCTTGCTTGCTAGAGACAATTACTATATAATAAATTTGAAAATATTTTTAATGCATTTGAGAAATTAATTAGAAAACTCGTGTTTATGTACAGTACCTTGGACAGCAACTTTTTTCTTTCCTGGTGCTGAGGAGTCTAACTCACGGGAGTTAGCAATTTGTAAAAATTAAATAATCGAATTTAAGATATATTAATGAATTCCAAAATATAGGGGAATTTATAGTCAAAATACCAGAGACACACTTTGGTCATCATTGTATCAACGAGTTACATTTTACAGCTTACTTTCAAGATCTCTTTTAATATATTAACTTAAAGATAGTGAAGTTTGTATTGTATTATGTTAATGTGTCAAAAGAGATAATTAAAAATACGAAATTATTGTCTATGGACAATATGGCATTTACTGAATTTTCATGTCTTATAGGTAATTGCTCACTCTAAGAATAAATATCAATGTCCCTTTCTTAAATCAAAATAAACTTGAATATTAAGATTATGTATTAATATCAGATTAAAACTAATTTTTATGAGGAAAGTGGAAGTCCTTTAAATGTGTTTTTCTACCCACCAGAAACTAGTGGATCTTTACACTGTTCTAGAAATAATGGATAGGATATAATTTCAACACTTGTTTGTAAGTTAAGTGATTTTTTTTTTTTTATCATTTTCTTACCATCTTTAAAAGCTCTCATTCTCTGGAAAAGAACTGTTAAGCAGACAGTTGTATCTTCATCATGATCTTACCTTAACAGTCACTAAATTACTTTTTTTTCTTTTTAATGACAGTCATGTAGATCTATGCTGTGATTTAGTAGAAATACCAGGCTGGTGCCTTCGTTACTTACATTGTGAAATAAATTAGCTTCAAGAAAATGTAATTCATTTTTGGTATCTTGAAAACACCTCTGTTGCAATGCAGTGTATTACATTGTATAATATTTTATAGATAGCATTTTTACACTTCAGAATACAGAAGTATGTCTTGCAAACCAACTCTTACAATAATAGCATGGTATAGGAACTTAGAACAAAACTGCTAGGTACCACGCAATATTGTAATGATGTATTTCAGATTCTTTGTTTCTTGCTTCCTGAAATGTTCTAAATTAGTTATGCTGTTATATACGAGTACACTGTGTTCCCTCCCATTTCAAGTGTGGGTTCTTGAAGTATTTTCTTACAGGCATAAGGAGTATTAATAACCTATCTATTCAATTAGAATGAAAAAAAAAAAAAACCCACAAAACTTTTTGTCTTCAAATGTATGGGGGTTTTCTGGAAGTGTTATTTTTTGTGTCATGGTTCACAGCAGGGCACACAGAGTACTTCTCAACATAGCAAGCTGCAGATGCTTCAGTAGGATACAAAATGTTAGAATATGGTGGGGGTTATGTGTGTTCATATATCCTATATTCTGGTATATCACTTTGGATCTGAGAAATCTAATCTGAGCTTCAAGGTAGTGAAGGGCTTTGAACCCACTACAATGCAGGATATGGACCATTAGTGGTCAGTGCCTCCTCCTGGTATTTTCCTGTGGTTTACTGGAATTGTCCAATCTATGACTACATCAGTAGCTTGCTTTGAATATTCTGTGTATTCCCTCACATCACAATATGCAGCTTGAGTTTCTGACAAACTTTTCTCTTTTCCTCACAGTACTAGAGTTTTCTGTCATGCAAGGGAGTTTCTGTGCTATTTTCATAGCTATGGAAATGTCACTAAAACTGAGGAGCATGGAAACAATATGAAAGTGTGTGAATTAAATTATTTTGTAATAGTGTGTTTAGCACAAACAATGGTGAGACCAGTTTTTGTTATCCATAACATAAGCAAAATATAGGAGTATACATTAGACTATTAGTTTCTATAGACATTTATATCTCAGATTTTGTCTGCCCATTTTAATTACTTGAGATACATAGTGTGATGACAATCATATGCTAAATTAGTGCTAAATCGAAGAAGAAAAACTACAAACATCAGTGGTTTAGTTTATTTCATGTAATGTCTAAAATGTAAGACTGTAATAGTATAATTAACAAGCTTTCCCAGTGAGTTTTGTCTCACAGATACAGATCTTTCACCATCCAGAACTGCCAACTTTTATTTGCATCTAGTGCAGAAAGACATTCCAAAAGTGACAAAAATGTATTGCTGTAGAAAAGGGCTATATCTATTCTGAAGATGCTTGTTTAGAAGCTGGCAGATATGCTCTGTTCCTTGTGCAAAAAGTTACTCATTATTCAGAGGTTTTTCTCAGTTTTCATTGAAACCGGTTGGTTGCAGTCTTCTATGTTGCTACAGTTCATGTCATTCTACATGATGACGTTATTCCATCATTAACTGCTTGTATAGCTCTTCTGTGACTGCAGTACAATTGGTTCACAAGTTTATAAAAAGTCCCCTAGAGGAAAGGGAGATGCCATCTGAGGGACCTGTACAGGCTGGAGAGGTGGGCAAGTGCAAACCTCATGAAGTTCAACAGGGCCAAGTGCAAAGACCTGCACATGGGTTGAGGCAGTCCCAAGCCCAAATACAGGCTGGGTGATGAGTGGATTGAGAGCAGCTCTGAGGAGAAGGACTTGGGGGTATTAGTGGATAGAAAATTGACTATGAGCCAGCAGTGTGCACTCGCAGCCCAAAGCCAACATATCCTGGGGTGTATCAAGAGAAGTGTGACCAGCAGGCCGAGGGAGGAGATTCTCCCCCTCTCCTCCACCTTTGTGAGACCCCACCTGGAGTTGTTCAGCACAGAGAAGGCTCTGGACAGACCTTACAGCAGTCTTCCAGTACTTAAAGGGGGCTACAGGATAGATGGGAAGGGACTCTTTATCAGGGAGTGTAGTGATAGGATGAGGGGAAGCAGTTTTAAACTGAAAGAGCGTAGATTTACATTAGATATAAGGAAGAAATTTAATGTGAGGGTGTTGAGACACTGGAACAGTCTGATACTGGACAGAACATGTCTCTGCCCATGGCAGGGGCATTGAAACTAGATGATCTTTAAGGTCCTAGTCCGTTCCAACCCAACTCATTCTATGATTATCATGTTCACCTGCTTGTCCATGAAGGGTCTTGGATGGCTCATTACTTATATATTAGATTAATTACTCCAATACCTGTTTTCCACACCCACTGAAATTCACAGAATTCATTCCTAGAACACTAGAAAGAGATATGGAAAAGAATCAAGGGAGATTTTCTAATGTTTTGATAAATAAAACGTACCTCAGACACTGTCACTAAAAATGTCTATATACTGCTCTTAACACTCTATTCATTGTGTATGTAGACCACATTCTTCTTCATTGTTACTTGCATGGTTTACTGCCATGGCTGAACATCTAAGCTTCTAATGCACATTTTAAAGGTTTCTCTAGATTGTACAGAACTGTGATATTTGCAGCAAAAATACTGAAACAATAGTGACAAAACGAACTACATTCTCTTTTTCTCTGACTGAAATTAATTATAGGTCCCTTTCAGAAAGGGAACTGTGCTGCAGAGGATCACTAGAGAAGGACTCCGGGTGAATCCTTTGATGTGCTGAAGAAGACTAGAATCTCCCAGTGCCCGGTGATCACTAGGGGGGGCAGTTTGTGGCACTTGAGCCATAAACTTACCTGTGCTGTTCTCCAGTGCTCTTAAACATATGCACAGTATACCTGAGGCAGAGCAGAGTAGGACTGGTCAACATTT